TCATGAAACATTGAGTAGCTCCATTTACTCAAGACTTCTTCACCCAGTGTTTTACATCATCTTATGGAGGAGTCTTAAGTTCCAGTGCCTTTAATAGTGTTTAATCTATTAATAGTTGTAATCTAACCCTGATATGTCTGTAAGCTTTGGTAACACACTCCCAGATAACCTTTCTATTTAGCACTATTTGTGCCTGAAATTATCAGATACGTCTCAATGTATTGTTTTCTCGTTCTTGCAAAGTATTGGGTCATTCCAGCATCAAGTCTCATTTATAAATCAAATTTATTTTACAAATAATTGGTGATATAAATATGTACTAATGACTTCTACTTCTCATTTGAGCTCTAAAGAATTCAAACATCTAAAGTTTCTTAAATGCCCGTGAAAGACAGTTAACAAGGCCACCTGTATCCTGTTGACTATATTTGAAAATAATAGTGCAAATTGCAAAGTTCATATTTGATTAATATAACTTGGATCCTTCTTTAAACTTTAGAGACAACCAGATAAAATTTCCAATATTAGCACTGAGTAAAAATAACACAAAGAGCCAGTGGAAGCTGGAATTATGAATGAATGGTCAGCAAGCCAAAACTAAATAAAAAACAAAATTTCATCACACAATAAAAACAGAAAACGCTGGAGAAATGTAGTATACCTGGCAGTGTCTGAGAGAGAAGAATAGAATTGATGGGAAGAATCTTATCGGGGCCTGAGTGACATGGGCTATGGTGAGAATTTTGGCAGAATTACACAAACCGTCCAGTGAGGGCTACCTTCGTGTCAGAAGCAAATCAATGCAATCTTTATGCACCTGCCGAGTGGTGAGGTGAATTTCACACTAGGCAGCAGACAGTTGATATTTAAGGGGTTTAAAGCTTGTTTAAGGCCTTACTAATGGGACAACTCGCCTTATTACTATTCAGCTTCCTACCTGACTTTGAAGAGCGAGCAAGATCTGACAATTTCAGCTCACTATTCGTTTCAAAGGATTTCTTTGTTGGAAACTGAACACCAACAATTTAGGACAAGCTCCATAAGTACCAGCCATATGTATTCCACATCTACAAACTTTGGCATCCAAAATCTGACAGCCTCAAAGAACCTTCATGGTACATGTCCGATTTACTTATTGTAACCCTTTGTACTTCAATGCTGCACCTCAGGCAACTATCATTGCAATAATGCTGCAAGGACAATGTGCTCATGGACGTGCACCCAGCTAATGCACTGGACCAGGCTGCATCTCCAGGTTGTTCACTTGCTCCCATAGTGCTTACTCAATTTGAGGCTACCTGGATGCTCACAGCATTTCTACTGTGCACTGCCTTGCCTTGACCTTTTATACTTTGCCCCTCACCCAAAAACACAGGCTCACAGTACTGCCATGCTGCCTTGCCATTGAGCATGAACACAAAGCCAGGAAGCTTGACATGGTTGCCAGCAGGTCTCAGTAAGATCAGGGGAGGTAGCCTTTGCTCAGGGATTTCCAAAAGAGTAAGTCTAGGGCAGGGTCTGACCATATGCTGCTATAGTATGGCAAGGATGGAAACTTGATTGCAGGAACTTAACCATGAAGTTCCAGGAAAGATGGGTCTGAAGTAAAGAGGAACAACACATTCGAAGACCTAGAGAGGAAAGGGGAGCTTGGTATGGGATAAAGGATATAAATGACAAATATTGGTCATAATAATTATGATGAAACATAGAGGTCACAGACATGGCATAATCCAGACTGTTCATCAAGTAGGAAATACCTGCTGGGATTGGCTGTCAATGCAGGAGTCATGGGCTTCCTTATCTTGAATCTCATTGCTTTTGCATCTGAAGTCTCGAACTGCTCACTTTCCCTGCTTCCTCCATCATATTCTCTCCATTAAATGAGGCATGTGGCTCCCCTAATTTCTTAGTCCACAAGACCTCCTCCCTACGCTGCACAATGTTCTACAACACACAGCAGACAATGATTATCGAAGAGATGGTCTGAGCCACATATCATAAAGCACTGCCAGAATAGTCCAGACGGTGGAACCTCATTTTAACAAGTCAATCATCTGCTCAATATCACACATGTTGACTGCATGATATCAATGAACTCACTCAATTACAGTTCAAATGTCCTCATTTGGGTCATCAGCCAAATATTCAGTGAATATTGTGGCAACTGTGAGTGGTGCTGTATACAGATAGTGTGTATTTGCTGAGAACTGAACATATAAATGAAGCACAAACCTTCAGTGCTTACACATCATGTAAATGTTGCTGAGTGGCATCTCTTCCTGTTAATAAAGGTTGAAAACTTGTCTCAGGGAACCAGCAGGGGAGATGGTCGTGCATAGTGATAATGATAATATCACTGAACTAATAATCTAGATGTCCAGCCAAATGATCAGGAGACATGGTTTCAACTCCCACCACAATAGCTGGTGGAACTTCAATTCAGGTAATAAAATCTGGAATACAATCTCAGTAATGGTGATCATGATAACTGTTATTGAGTATTGTGAAAGCACATCTGATTTACTAATGTCCTTAACCAGTCTAGCCTATGTGTGACTGCAATATAGTTAACTCTGAAGTCCCCTCTGAAATGGCTTAACAGCAAGGCACTCATTCCAACAATAATTAGTGATGGGGAACAAATGATGGCCTAAACAGGGAAACCGAGATCTCCTTCAAAAGAATTGAGAAAAACATGGAAGAAATCACAGGATTTATGAGAAGACTCTGACAGCCCTAAAACTCTCAAACTTCTCTGCCTGCCTATCTTGGTCAGTACTGTAACACACAAATTCTTTTGCCAGAGTATTTGTTAATTCCTTGATGCAGCAATGAGCAGCTGCCTGGAAGAACTCACATATGTCCCTGGTGGATCTTTGGAAGGAACCAATTGTATGGAAGTTTAAGATTGTGATAACTTTCAGAGTCACAGGTATTTGTTTGTCTCCAAATCCCATGGACTACAGATAACCCGGAATTATAGCACACAGTGACTGTATCCCAAGATGGCTATAACCTTTGCTGACATTGATACTTGGACATTTGTCAAAATTGTACACTCTGGCACACTACACAGATCTTCCCTGGTTCTGTCCCTCTCGACATTCCTTGGCATGTTGTTCTGTTGAAGGCTGAGCCCTTTGCTGTTACCAGTCTAGTGATGGCGCGTCGGATTCCTGTTCCACCACTTTCTATAACATTTCTCTTCCCCTCGGGGCTCCAGGAAATCTGGTTGAAGGAAGCCTATTGCTGCTCAAGTTGCATGACAATGATCTGAACCCTGGCAGAGGGGTAATCTGCACTAGGACCCTGGCTTTGTTACACCTGATACCTGTTAGCCTGCTTTAAATGCTTCATACAGCCAGGGACCTAATGACCTGTGATCCCCATATTCATCACATTGAATTCAAAAGGTTCAATTTGATTCCAAATTCTTGTATTTGTAAGAATGATACACTGAATGAGTTAAATTACCTCCCTGCTACATCTTCCAGTACTGTCCTGCACCTCCCTGTGCTCGGTTAGTTCCAGCCATATCAGACATGGTGTCACAATACAATTCAGCACCCCGCCCTCCCCCCCCCACCAAGCCCCATCCACATTTCCTGCTACCTCAGCTAGTATTAAATTCCACCCATGATCATTGATAAGTTTGTTAAAGCATTAAATATGTCAGTTGATGCTTTTGAACAACTTTATTTCAAAATCCTGCATTAAAACATGCTTTTTTAGAAGTGCATTCCATGAACTGATTTTGTTTACGGATTTTTCTCTAATTTACAGAGTTACATCTTCTTCATCTGTTGGAACCAGTTTTAAAAAAGCACTTAATAGGCCATCAAAAGGATTCAATCCATCCAAAACCTAATACTTCCAATTGCATTTGAAATGAACATTCACCTTGAGAAGCCAGTTTACAAAACAAAAGCAATCTACTCAAACAATGAAAACAGAAACAGCTTGGTATATACACAAAAGCAAACCCTAGGCACCTGTTTTGCCAGTGTGAGGACTATCCTGTTTCTATTATGCCATCAAGTAACAGTACAGTGATCCACATTAACTATGTATAAACCCTGTGTGTGCTTACTTTCTGAGAGGCATATTCCTGTTAACAATCAAGTCTACTTTTATAAATTCATAAATAATTAATTACAACATTTAAAAGACATTTGTACAGGTGCATGGATAGGAAAGGTGCATGGAGATATAGGCCAAATACAAGCAAATGGGACTAGTTTAGTTTAGGGTTGGCATGGATGAGTTGGGCTGAAGGTCTTGTTTCCTTGCATAGGCTTTATGACTCTAATTTAAATAAGAGAAGTCATTTCACAGAAAAATATCTTGTATTTTTTTTGCACCTTTATATAATGTTCAAAGGTGTTCGTAAAGCACTATCAAACAAAATTTGATGTTGATGTGTAAAACATTAGAATAGATGACCAAAAACTCGGTTGAAGAGGTAGCTTTTAAGGAACATCATAAAGGAGAAAAGAGACATAGAGAGGCAAAGAGGTTTAGAGATAGAATTCTCTCGTGCTTGAGGCCTTGGCTGCCTAAGGCACAACCACCAATGGTGAAATAATCAGCAGTGTTTACACCAAAACTGGAGTAATGCAGATATCTTGGAGAAGGGGTTTATGGAGATGGAAAGCATAACTTGAAGGTTGCAAAAGTAATTTGAAAACAGGGATGAGAATTTTAAAGATAGGAATCTTAAATTTCTGCAAGAATACAGTTGTGAGAGTTACTTTGACGGCAGTGTCCTTTTTTTAAGAAGAAGCTGTCTTGAAACTTCAAGTACAGGGATCTATGGTTTTAAAAAAAAACTTCACCTCATCAAAGTCAGAATCAGTTGTCCAACTATGGTAAATGCCTCTGACCAAAAGGATTTTTTAAAATATATATCACCTGAATAAAAATAAATTAGTAGAATTCTGGGGGGAAAAGGGAAACATGAAAAAAATATAATGAATGTATGATGGAATAAAACTCACCTCATAATGATCTCCTGGACATAAGCGAGCAAAACCGATCAAACCTAGAAATTCACAGAGGAAAGGTAGTTGATATTCAAAGTAAAAGGCAGTTTAATAACATTAATGCTGGATTCACCAACATGAAATCAGCACTCACAACAAGATGACAAACTTAGATGTCCATAGCAACCTTGGTGATGTTTGGATATTCTTAAATGATTCGTAGCTAATGAAATTACTTTCAAAGGCTATATCTGTAGCTGTGTAGAAAATTTGCGCATGGCAATGTCCCATAAATGAAAAGAGGTGTGTGACTGGATAATCTTTGCACTTTACTGATATTGATTGAGGTACGAGAAAGACCTCCTAACACTTTGCGGAATTAGATCTTTTATATCTCATTAAGAGATAAGGTAGAGCCTGATTATACTTCCTCTGAAAAGGCAGCATATATGGTTTTCTGATTCAGAGACAAGAGTACTACCTCAGAACCAAAGCTAACATAAAGTTACCATTAGTATTTAAATGTCTTTTCCTAACAAATTTGAAAAATTGGTTAATCACCCTTCGCACAAAAATAATATGGCAATTTAGGAAAGAACAAAGTGCCATTACTGAGTTACTGTCTCTTTCAATTGCAAATTAGAGCTTTAAACTTGGTCTTAGTGTCCAAGGATACTATTGGGCAGAATTACATCTCCTAAATAGTAGCCAGCATGTCTCTTGGAAGTTACCTTGTGTGAGAAAGTCAGGTGACAATGGGGGATTCGCTTGGCTGCGATGCTACTCACAATGGGAAGGTTTGTTAGCACAGTCTGCTCGTGCTGTTGGAAAGGTTTTACACTGATTTGGCAGGGGATGGGCACAGAACAGATGTAAAGTTGGAGGCAAGGCCCAAACAGACATAGAAGGAATACCTAGACAGTCCAGTAAGACGAGAAGAAACGGGCAGGATAAGATACATAGGAGGTTTGGAAAGGTAAATTGTATCTATTTTAAAACAAGGAGCTTGAGTGGTGAGGTAGATGAACTTAGAGCATTGATCAGCATGTGGGAATATAATATTGTTGCACTCACTGAGACATGTTTGAACAGGACTGGCAGCTCAACATTCCAGGGTATAGAAATTTCAGGTGCAATAGCAGGGGAGAAACAGAGGTGGGGCATTGCATTACTGATAAAGGAAACCATCACTGCAGTAAGGAGGGAGGACATTGTAGAAAGGTCTTCAAACAAACCATCTGGATAAAGCTTATAAATAAGGGGTGACTACTTGCTGGGATTATAGTACAGGTTTCCCAACAATCAGGGGGAGATAGAGGAGCAGGTATGTAAGCAAATCACTGAAAGGTGTGAGAGAAATGGTTAAAATTGGAATGTACTTAAATTTTCCTAACCTTAACTGGGATTGCCTTAGTGTGAAAGGATCAGACAGGGTGGAATTTTTAAAGTACATCCAGGTGAGCTTTTTGTGCTGGTACTTAGATAGTCCTGCTAGAGATGGGGCAGTGCTTGACCTAATGCTCAGGTATGATGCTGCTTAAGTGGTTGAAGTTTCAGTGGGTGAGTATTTTGGGGATAGTGACCATAACTCAGTAAGTTTCAAAGTCATTATGGAAAGCGATAAGGATAGTACAGAAATTGTGTCCATTTTGGGGGAAGGCCAATTTCAATATTATTAGACAGGATCAGGCAAACATAGAAGCAAGGAGCTGCTCCCAGTCTAAGTGTACATTTGGAACGTGGGGGTCTTCTAAAAGTAGTACAATGAGAATTCAGGACCAATGTGTTCCTCTGAGACTGAAGGGCAGAGGCAGCAGGTTCAAAGAACCCTGGATGTCAAGGGAATTCACGAGTTTTGTAAAGAAAAAGAAGAAAACATATGTCAGGTACAGTGCATTAAAAGCTGGGGAGCCCCTTCAAAAGAATAGAGAGTGTAGGAAGTTGGTTTAAAAGGAAATTAGGAGGGCAAAGAGAAGCCACAAAGTATCTTTGGCAGATCATAGAATCCCTACAGTGTGGAAGCAGGCCATTTGGCCCATTGAGTCCACACCGATCCTCCAAAGAGTAACCAACCCAGACCCACCCGTCTATCCTATACCTGTAACCCTGCACTTCCCATGGCTAATCCATCTAGCCTGAATATCCATGGCCACTATGGGCAATTTAGCATGACCAATCCAGCTAACCTGCACATCTTTGGACTGGGAGGAAACCAGAGCAGACACAGGGAGAATGTGCAAACTCCACACAGGCAGTCACCAGAGGGTAGAATCAAACCCCAGCCCCTGGTGCTGTGAGGCAGCAGTGCTAACCACTGAACCACCATGCTACCCCAAAAAGAGAGCAAGAAAAATCACAAGGTTTTGTAGAAATAAATTAAGAGTAAAAAGACTACCAAGGCAAGGGTGGGTCCTATTAGAGACCAAAGGGGCAACGTGTGTGTTCAGCCAGTGGAGGTGGGTGAGGTCTTAAATGAATACTTCTCATCTGTATTCATAGACGAGAAAGAGATTTTAGCCAGGGATTTCATTTGGATGGTGATGTTCTAGAACATGTTAAGATGGTGTTGTTGATACTGAGGAGGGTGGACTCAGGCTATAGTCTGATATTTCTCAGTCGGTAAGTTAGGCAGAGGAATGACAGATAGAATGTAATCCCGATAATTGTGAGGTGATGCAATTTGGGAGGTCTAATAAGGGAAGGGCATACACAATGAATAGCAGGTCTCTAGGGAGTACTGAGGAACAAAAAGGACCTTGGTGTACATAGATCCCTGAAGGTGTCAGTACAGTAGAGAGGCCCAGAGGTAGAGAGGTGAAGAAGGCATACAGGATGCTTGCCTTCATTAACCACGGCATAAAATATTATGCAAGAAAGACTTGTCACAACTTTATCAAACATGGGTTAGGCCACAAATGGAATATTGTGTACAGTTCTGGTCTCTACATTCTCAGAAGGCCACATGGAACCTTGTCAAAGACTTTACCAAAGTTCATGTAAACCACACTGGAGAGGGTACAGATGCAATTCACCAGGATGTTACTTGGGTTAGAAAGACACAGTTAAGAGATGAGACAACACAGCGTGGAGCAGCGGGCCAGGCAGCATCAGAGGAGCAGGAAAGTTGACGTTTTGGGTCGGGACCCTTCTTCAGAAATGGGGAGGAGAAGGGAGATGGGAAATAAATAGAGAGAGGAGGGGCGGGGCTGGGGAAGGTAGGTGAGATGGTGATAGGTCCGTTTATTGGTATAAACATGGTGGGTTGAAGGGCTATATGACTCTAGTATAGAGTGATGCATGAAGTATGGTTAAATGGATGAGGTGTGAAAGAACACCAAATGCCTGTAAATCCATATCTCAACTTTTGGAGAGGTTGTTGTACCCTAGAAGATAAATGCTTTTGAACAGACTCGAGGTCTACACTTATACTGACAGCTTTATTTCTGTTAATTACACTGCACTGAATACTAGCTCCCTAGAGTTAGACAACCAATATACACCCAATTACCTCTTAAGTAATATATCCATCACCTATTCCTTCATCCCATTCGATTGCAAGCATCCCTTCAGACTGTATTACATGAAAACAAGATGGGGTTGCGGTAATGTCATCGGACTAGTAATTCATGCTTCAGGCTAAAGTACTGGCAACATGGGTTTAAACACCACCATAGCTGATGATAAAATTTGAGTTCAATATAAATTTGGAACAAACAAAATCGTGAACATGTAAGTACTGTCAATTGTTTTAAAAACCCATCTGGTTCATTAATGTCCTTTAGAAAAGGAATCTTCCATTTTTATCTGGTCTGGTCTACATGTGACTCCAAACCCACAACAATGTAGTTGACTCTTAACTCTGGGCATTTAGAGATGGGCAATGAATGCTGGCCCAGACAGCAAGGCCAAAATCCCATGAACAAATAGAAAACTGACACTTCACAGTTGCTGTGTGGGAAGAATTGCTCCAGATAAGGCTAATAGAGGCAAGTTGCCACCACACTTTGCTGACATACCTGGGTTGACAGGAAGACTATCTGTTTTCCTCAAGATCACAAAAGGAAACCATAGCACTAGACCTTGTAGCATGGTCTGAAATTGACATCTGGGACAGTGCCATTTCCTGGTCTGAAGGAATGCTCAGCAATGCCTCAAAAAGGTAATTGACCTTCTGCACTGCCACCATCTTCTCTCCACTCCCTCCCTCACACACACACCAACTCTTATTGTACACACCTCCCACCAACAGTCATAGTCTATCACTCCCACTACTGCCTGCAACATCTTTCCTCAAAGGCTCTCATCCACCTCATTCCTCCAGATTACTGACTCTGCATGCCCTCTGCAAGGCTTACTCACTCACTCAGGACAACTCCATCACCACTAACAGCTGTGCTTGCCAATTTAATCTTTCTCAAACTCTGCCCTTGTCTCGTTCCGGGAGAAAATAGCTCACAATAGGGTAGAGTGGTCCACAACTGGTTATTGGATGTCTGATATTTGTCTGTTCACCCCTGATGAGAATATTTGTCTCAGAAGGAGAGCATGGTGACTGTTTATGGAGTAATGCCAAAACCTCCATACCCCAGCAACCAACTAAGATTTATTGTCAAGTGCTGAGATACTTCCATTACCACCATTGCGAATGTGAATTCTTAACAAAGCTAAGCTTCTACCCCTGTTATTACTTCTTGTCTTCTGTAATAGAATAGCATCCACACTGCCTCTCCAGCCAACACCATCATCTCCACATTTGAGGAAGAAGACACAGATGCCTCAGAGGAAGCACTAGCAAGACTGTCTCCTGCACCTTCTTCAGCTCAGTTCCTGACTTCTTGGAGGATATTTTAGCCAGAATAGAGTTGGGAACAGAGGTTTATAAAACCATGAAGGGCATAGATAAGGTGAATAGCGAAGGTCTTTTCCCTAGAGTGAGGGAAATCCAAAAGTACAGGGTATAGTTTTAAGGCGAGAGGGAAAAGACATAAAAGGGACTGGAGGGGCAAGATTTTCATGCTGAGGTGGGTGCATATAGGAAGTGGTAGATGCAAGTACAGTTACAACATTTAAACAGTTACATGAATAGGAAAGATTTAGAGGGATATGGGCCAAAAGCAGGCAAATGGGACTAGTTTAGTTTGGAATGCCTGGTCAGCATGTATGAGTTGGACTGAAGGTTCTGTTTCCATGCCGTATGACTCTATGATTCTATATCTGCAGTTGGCTGGGGAAGATAAGCCCCAGGTCACTGGCACTCAGAGGGTAGGTGGAAACCAAGCACATGCTCAGTCCAGGTAGGAGAGGACCGCATTGCCTTGACCATGAATAATTCATTAAAATGCAAAAATAGGCACAGAAACAGCAGGCGGGTTTATTGGAGACACTCAGCAAACTGGATCAAATGTTCGAGAAGTCTACCAACTCTATCTGTATTGTACTGGTTCTGGCATGCACGCATCTGGTTTCCTCCATGAGATGTTGGCAATTGCCAAGGGCAAGGCCAGAAAACCAGTGTCTGCCGGACATGCACACAGACCTACAGTCCATCACTCCAACCATTGGTGCTCAGAACCAATAGCAATGCATAAGGGGAGGAAGGAGTTTCACCTCATTCCAGGCACCCTTGCCTAACAAGGAAACAGGGTGGCACCAATGGGCACCATGCCAAAGGTCTCCAAACCCCAGCAGTCCCTTTTGAGGACTTGGCATTGATGCTCAGTCCCTTCACTTTCCCTGTGACCCTCAATGTGTAGATGTTTAAGCCAAGAAAGATGCAATAGGAAAGATACACGCAGGGATATCTGAGCCCTTTAACCACAAGTACCCCTGGAGCTACCTGCCCAAAACTCCAAAGTCACCATGCTCCACCAAAGGGCAGACTCTCTCTACCTCATCTGCAGACCCTGGGATTGCACCTAGATGTAGTGGGAGTAACAGGATAAAGAAAACATGAGAGGGAATACAGTTGGTACAGGTGAAATTTCATTGAAAGTAGAATGACACATCTGTTAAGATATGTTTACTTTTCATCATCAGTGGTATGATCAACTGATTCCTGACTGCAGCGACAAGACTGAAGGTGGAGAGGCTCACCATTTTTAGCACCTCAAAATACCATTACCAAATCTGAGGGTTAGTTATATATTCCATAGAGCCCATAAAAACACAAAACTTTGTCATTATTGAAGGTTCCATCAGTTTGTAATCTTAACTTTTAGCAACAAGAAAAGTGAAGCAGGAAAAATCTGGTAAGATTCATTTGGAGTTGGAATTAAACAAGGAGTACTGGCCTCTGCAGCATCAAACACTTAGAGTCAATGAATGATGACTTTACTCAACTCAGTTCCATAGAAATCCATTGCCAAAGAAGTCCTGTCTATTCATCTATGACACAAAAAAGATGTCCATCGCAACACAATGTCCACCCACAGGGCATAAAATTATAATTATGAGTTCATATTCTACTCCACTGTCTTTGTGAAAAAACAGTCAGAATTAAAATTTATTCAAGTTATATTGTATTCAAATCAAATATAGGTACCTTTCATTCTGATGTGAAATTCCCCAAGTAGCACTTCTAACGTTCTCTCAATTGCGCACATATCCTATTGAACAATAAAGAATGCAATGATTTGATAATATCGATGAAAGAATAGTTCTAAGTATATGTAATTAAAACTCTCTGTTCTGAATTTGCAACATCAAACTTTAGCACAATTTAAAAGTTGGGATTTATATAGATCAGCCAGTTATTTTCCACGTTTTTGTGACTCATAGAGGTGTTCTGAAATGAGAAATGTTTTATTAGCTTTATCAAATCTGTTCAGAGCTGTGTTCTCTGTGAATAATGCTTCAGTAAAAGATCATTCATTAAATCTATTCTTTCACAATCAATACATGAAGCCTAGCTATTAACATATAGCACTCCTCTACAGAACAGATGCTAAAAACTTCAACTTTCAGCAAAACAATTGTCATTTGTTATGCAGAAACGCATTTTTAATTCAGTGGCCCATGCTTGTAAAACTAAATGTAGTCCCTCCTTAACCATTTTCTGTGTTTTAAAATGAAAGTTTTCTGGGTCAGGTGAGTTACTGTATAGCAGATCTCTATGAGAAAGAAAACAGTTATTACAGTAAAAATTAAAAGCTAATTGTTGGAACCAAACTTAATTGGCTGTTATAGTGCACAGGCCTAAAAAAATACAATGTGGTTAGCAGCTGGGACATTTCTGGGTTCATTTTATGTTTCCCATTCAGTTCAATACACTAAACAAAAATCAATAAGGCCTGTTAAATGGCACAGGGTTTGTGATTCTCCTTCTGCTTCTACTTCAGTTATTTTGGCATCACAGACTTATATCTGTATTCAGCCAACGTTTATACAGTTAGCACTAGTTAAACCAGGCATGATCTGCTGAGATGGCAATCTTAATAATGAAAACCTATTAAATGGAACAAATCTAAAGATGGGTCTTGAAACTTACAAGTGATGAGGTTGTGAGTACTTCCTTTTGCAATTTATTCCATTGTGGAATTGTTCTTGTAAAGAAAGATTGTTGATAGTCCCTCTGACCTGACTAACCCCTCAGTCCAACTACTGGCCCCAACTAATCACTGACCTGACCTGACAACCTGCATCTGACCCATAAAACCTTCCCACTGAACAAACCCCTATTCAGGGCCCTCTTGTGTTGCAACAGGTAGTGTCCTTGCCCCTAGATAAGAGAGGGCTGGATTCAAGTCCCATCTGCTCCAGGGGTGTGTAATAACATCTCCGAATAGGTTAATTAGAAAAGAAGGTTTAAAAGAAGAACAATTCCGTCAGGACTAAACAGCAATGCTGATCTGAGTAGATAAACCACCAACCAACAATCCCACCCTTGACAAGACCCAGCTACACCCTGGGCCTGACCCAATCTGACTCTCTATCCCATTATCAACCTTCTAACTCAATGCAACTAACATCCCTGAAGGGATGTGTTTAACCCTTTATTTACTCTTAGACCAGGTGGGGCTCAGGTCTCTGTTCAAATGTTACTTCATGTATATTTGAAAGATATACACTCCAAGAAAATGGCATACAGCTCAAACCTTTATTATAAAAACAGAGGTTTTAAACCATTTTTATAGATAACAAGCTTCGAATCAACTATTCCTACAGATAATAATTTACAATCAAAATTTTACACACTTACCCATATCTCTACCTGACCATGTTCACACAATTTACACTTCATGTTAGTTCACATGACCATATTATCATCATGTTCAAATTAATCCAGATAAATATATTACCCAATCATATCCAAACCAATACACGTGATTGTATTTTCCAATCATATGTTCGTATCCTAGCCTATTTTTGTTTAAATAAAACCTATACTGTTTACTTATCCAACATCAGTCCATGACCCAACTCTCTCTCACACTGCTACTCTCCTGACCTGGCCTGACTTCTCATTTACCCACACATTCACTCAGTCACCCAACCATGCACCTGCTCACACCCACTCCTCCAGCTACATATCAACTCATTCACTCACCCTCTTCACCCACTCACCTATCCACATACACATTCGCCCACTCACTCATAACCTAAATGCAGCAGCAGGTGTCACAGAAATTGATTGCTTTATTGTCAGGTGTACCAAAATACAGTGAAAAGTTTTGTGTATGAGCAGTACAGGCAGATCACAGCAAGAAAGGATGTACAGATCAAAATGTCTTAGAGGCATACAGGTTATATTGCAGGTTACATTATTTGAGCCTAGAGTCCATTCAACAGTCTGATAATGGCCAGAAAGAAGCTGTTCCTGAGCCTGCTCATGTGTGTGTTCAGCCTTCTGTATCTTCTGCCTGACCCAAGGGGTTGTAGGAGGTCACTACCAGGATGCAATGGGTCTTTGATGATATTGGCTGCCTTTCCACAGCAGCGAGCTGTGTAAATAGAGTCCATGGATGGAAGGTTGGCTTCTGTGATGGTTTGGGCTTTGCACACCACCTTCTATAGTTCTTACGGTCCTGCGCAGAGCAGTTGCCATACCAGGCCATTATGCACCCAGACACAATGCTTTCAATGGTGCATCTGTAGGAGTTGGTGAGGGACCTTATGGATATGCCAAATTTCCTGAGCTGCCTGAGGAAGAAGAGGCGTTGTTGTGCCTTCTTTACTGTCGCATTTACGTGGGAAGACCAGGACAGGTCGTCGGTTATTGTTACTCCAAGGAACTTGAAGCTTTTCACTATCTCACCCTCACTTCTGTTGATGTAGATGGGGGTGTGTTCTCGTCCTTTCTTTCTGAAGTCGATGGTCAGTTCTTTATTTTTGCTGACATTGAGAGACAGATTGTTTTCATTGCACCACGTCACCAAGCCCTCTATCTCCCTTTCTGAAGAAGGGTCTAGGCCTGAAACATCAGCCTTCCTGCTCCTCTGATGCTGCTTGGCCTGCTGTGTTCATCCAGCTCTACACCTTGTTACCTCTATCTCCCTTCTGTATTTTGACTCATCTTTGTTAGATATTTGTCCCACTACAGAGGTGTCATCAGCAAATTTGTAGATGGCATTTGTTAGGAACTTGGTAACACAGTCGTGGGTGTACAGGGAGTACTGCAGGGGGCTGAGGACACATCCTCGGGGGGCTCCAGTGTTGAGTGTTACTGTGGAGGAGGCGCAGTTACCTATCCTCACTGATTGCAGCCTATGGGTCAGAAAGCTAAGGATCCAGTTGCAGAGGGCGGAGCTGAGACCAAGGTCACGCAGTTTTGAGTGAAATGGAGTGTGTTCTCTCTTCAGTCATCTTGTGTTCGTCAGTCGTCTCCTTGGATGTCCCTGCTTACTCATCACTGCTTCATCTGAGATTAGAAGTTCTGGCTGAAAATGGGTGGTACTTTGGGTTGGAGAAAATTTCATAGACAGTGTCAGTGTGCCCAACATTGCTGTAGACTGGAAGATCTAGGCCAAAGATAGTAGGAACTGCAGATGCTGGAGAAAATCTGAAGAAGGGTCTAGGCCCAAAACGTCAGCCTTCCTGCTCCTCTGATGCTGCTTGGCCTGCTGTGTTCATCCAGCTCTACACCTTGTTATCTCAGATCTAGGCCAAATTTGTTTTCTGTCCTTCACTGTACTGGTTAAAATGCTCTCTATTGCTTTCTTATTTGGTCCCATACATGTAGTTCTTACTTAAAATGACTAAAATGCTCATGAATATTGCATCAATGAATATTGACATTGCCTTCAGAAAGTAATATGTTTAAAATTCAAAACATAATTAAAATTTGCTACATTTCTAACAATGGCTCTGAGAGCCTTTGTATTTGAGATAATCAATTATTTTATTAGTGACCTTAGGGTTAAATCATTGAAATGTCTCAGGATATCAATATGCTCGTCATCAGAATTTTGATATTAATACTTAACACAATGAACAAACAAATAAGCCATTTTATGCTTTGATGCATACAAAGCTGATTTTAAGATTTCCCAAAATTGTATGAAAAAAGATGGTAAACTGGAATTTTAAAAATTATCCTATACGCCAAAAATTTAATCTAGTTTTAATCTGCCAAATAAGTAGAAAAATCAGAGCCTATTTTTGCCAATTTCAGAGCTGTCAAATAAAATCCAAAATAAGTAAATCAAGAACAAAGATGGAATACCAAACACAAAGATGGAATACCTCTGTACATTCCTTGTAATTTCTGTTAATCTCGAGCAATGTTTCCCTTGATCCTTTGGTAGAAGGACACACAGTGTAAGCTTGCTTCATGTTGCTTGCGCCATTACGTAGCTGCCATTGGATGAAGTAGGATTCATATAGTTCTTCTATCTGGGTGATAGTTGATTATAAAAGAATATGAAAGAATAAAGAATATGAATGGCAGTTCTTAAAAGTGAAACTCCATAAAGTCTTCTTTCTACAGCAATAGACATTTCTACAAACCTTAAATCATTTTTTTCCATTTTCCAAAATAGAGAAGTAGGGAAAACAAAAACATACAGCACAGAAGCACACCATTCAGCCCATTATTTAATTTCTTGATTCACAGGATTTGGGCATTACTGAGAATTCCAGGATTTATTGTCCGTTCTTAGTTGCCTGTGAGAACGTGGTGGACAGTCACCTTCATGAACTGTTGCAGTCCATGTAATGAGGATAGAGTCACAATACAGTTAGGGCAGGAATTCTGGGATTTTGACCCGTGGCAGTGAAGGAATGGCAATATAGTTTCAAATCAGGACGGTGTGTCACTTGAATGGGAATCTGTGGAGACGGGGCATCCTTATTTATTTGGTGCCTTTTTTCATCTACAAGGTAGAGGGTGTGCTTGTGGAAGTTGTTAGTTTGGTGAGTTGCTGGAATTTATCTTCCAGATTGTATACACTGTTGCTATAGTGGACGGACTGAATGCTTAAGGGGTCACCGAAGTTCAGGATGTTCTCAAGATTCCTGAGTGTTATTTCTGCAGTCATCCGAGCAAGGGGAGAATATTTAATCACAACACTGACTTCTTCCATTTGAATTATGGAGAGGCTTTGGGGCTTCAGGAGGAGGGTTATGCACAACAGAATTCTCACCATCAGACTTGCTCTTATAACCACTGTATTAATATGCTCTTCCAGTTAAGTCCCTAGTCAGTGGTAACTCTCAGACTGCTGATGGTGAGAGATTCAGCAAGCATTCGCAAAGGGTATTTGATTGGGTTTTCTGTTATTGGAGATGGTTATTGCCTGGCTTCAGCAATGGCATGAACATCATTTGCCACTTGTCAGCCCAAGCCTGAACGTTGTCCAGGTTTTGTTGGATGTGGTCACAGCGTGCTTCCAAGTCTGTGGAATTGTGAATGAAACTGACTACTATCATTAGCAAACATTTCCACTTTTAAAAAAGTTATTTCATAGAATGTGGGTGTCACTTGCTAGGTCAGCATTTATTGCATATCGCTAATTGCTCTTGAGAAGTTGCTGGTAAGCTTCTTGAGCTGATACAGTTAATCTGATGTAGATACATCCATCACGCAATCAGGAATAGTGTTCCAAAATTTTGACTCAGTAGCAATGAAAGAACAGCTGAATAGGTCCAAATCAGGATGGAATGTGGATTGAAGAGGTTCCTGCAGGTAGTGGTGTTCCCATGCAGTCATTTCGTTTCTCCTCCCAGGATTTAAAAAGGTGCTATTACGGGAGCTTTAGTGAGTTGGTACACTACCATCTTGTAGATGGTGCACACTGCTACCACTGTGCATCAGTGGCAGGGGGGCTGAATGTTTAAGGTGATGACTGGGTTGCCAATTAGTGAGCTGCTTTCTTCTGGACTGTGCCAAATTTTATATGTGTTGTTGGAACTGAATTCATCCAGGTAAAAGCAAAGTATTTCAGAAGATGTTTTTGTAGATGGTGCACAGGCTTTGAGGAGTTAGAATTCCCGGTTTCTGACTCACTCTTGTAGCAATAGTTTTTATATGCTAGTGCAGTATAGTTTCAATGGGTGTTCAGCAGCGGAGGAAGAGTCATTGAATACATTTTAAGGCAGAGGTAAATATATTCTAACAAGGACACAAAAGTTACCAAAGATAAAAATATCTTTGGGGGCATATCAAATAAAAACCGAAAGAACTACGGATGCTGTAAATCAGGAACAAAGAAAATGTCGCTGGAAAAGCTCAGCAGGTCTGGCAGCATCTGTTCTGAGGAAGGGTCACCAGACCTGAAACGTTAACTCTGTTTTTTCCTTCACAAATGCTGCCAGACCTGCTGAGCTTCTCCAGCAACTTTTTGTTGTTGTTGTTGTTGGGAGCATATCATTTTTTCCTGCTTCTTGTTATTATTATCTTATGGCAACTGCTCCTGAAGATCTTAAACAATTAGAAACTGTGAAGTATAACTATTTGTTGACATATGAAATAATAATTTTCCTAGTTGTACTTTGGTATGGATGATGTTAATTTTATTGTCTCACTGAAGGAGAGAGTACTCAGGTCCTTATAGTGATTATTTTTATAACAGGATGGTTTACTTTGCCATTTCAGAAAAAGTCACTCCTGCTCTAGTTGTAATTTCACCACTGGGGAAAAGGTCTCTATTATGAATATCCTAGTCAGAAAATACTGTTCTGGAATGATCTTGTAAATCACTGAGAAAATTTCAGACTCAACTTATAGATGGAAGATGTCTTTATACTGGGATAGATTTCACTTTAATTATATAAACTCCATTGTAAAGGTCATGCTCAAACAGAAACTTGCTGCCACGGTTTCCATGGCAATAGTCTGACAGTACAGGCTGTTCCTGGATATTATGGAAAATTAGTCCAGCAAAATATTTCAATGTGTCATGCAGCAGTGATTTTAGGCAGGGTAGTAAAAAAAGAATCACAGATTTTAGATTTATTGTGTGACCAATAGAACAAAGGTTACATGGCTTGATGTAAGAAACACTGTACATTATGCTTAAAACCTGAAGTTTGTGACTGCTTTCCAAGTGCTTGTACAACAAAGTTTATTACTTTCCCACAGTTCAAAAATCTGCACTTCATGCAATGAACTCAAATGGCTTCATAATTTATTAAGTTAAACATATCGCCCTCAACACATTATTATCGCAGTGAAAAATGCATGAGGAACAGCAATGAGGAAAAAGTCAAATGGTTATCTGAGACAACTACTTTTATTATCCATCCAACACCAATTGAAATGCTCCCTTTTGAAGAGAAAAAGATAAGCTTTGATTTGGTTAATTATAGGCTGCAAATCCTTACCTTGCTGATGTGAAACTCCAGTTTCCTGATGTATCTCTCAGTGGTCCGCATTTGCTGAAAAGCATCATATTGATGAATGACCAAAAGTAATCTACACAAATTGTCTCAAATTTAATGTTATAATGCCACCTTCAAAACTCACCATTAACAATTTAAACTGCTGGACAGCTGTTTCTTGCCTTTTTCTCTATTATTTGCCATTATAGAACACATCACAGATTGCTGAAAAGTGGAGGCGGGGAATGCCCACGGATTCCTTAATGTAACTTTCAACCAGGCTTCTAAATTGATGAACAGTACATCCAGCTATTACAAGCACGAGGCTGTAATATAATCAACTCATGGTCGTACGGGAATTGTAAGATTCACTTGCAATATTCAGGCAAAGTGTAACAAAACAGTGCTCAAAAACAAAAAATTGGGACGATTGTAGATACTCGGGACAGAATTCATTGGCCTTGCAAATTACAGGATTAGTGAAGGGGAACATTTAGTCAGGAGGTGTGGGGAGTGGAAATGGCAGATAGGGCCACTACTACCTCTCACCTGTGCCTTGATTATGTCCATGGCAGAGAGGGCACCGTGCCACCAATTGAGGCCATCAACTGGACAATGAATACCCATTCTGCTGCCTCTGGTACTAACCCAATAGTGGGCAAGGGGCTTACCTTGTGAGTTTGCTTGCGGGCTGCCAGGAGTCTCAAAGGCATTCAGTGCCTGATCAAGGGAACAGGCATCAAGAAAGGGGGCATCGGCTTCTGCTTGTGTTGCATCCACCACCACTCCCCCAAAACATTTCTCTTACAACTGCCCCACCACCATCACTCCTCTGTAGCGTGTGATTCAATGATAACACAAGGGTGTCTTGAATAGGTGTCATACTGGCAGGTGTCATCCAGTGATTCTGCCAGACTCTGATTGCTGGCAGCTCTCGCAGAATTCTATCCCAATGGTCCCTGATCTCAGTGAAGGCCTATCCCTGTCCTATTAAGTATCTAAGTGACACTTAATCCGGTGGGTCTTCCCATAGGCTAATGGGTGAGACATCCTGTCCCATCCTTGTTTCTAGATGCATGACTATATTGTAGCACCTTGCCTCTACACAATGATGGATACAACTTTAATAATATGAAAATATGGAAAACATGGTTGGTTAGTTGGTTTGCATATGACACCAAGATTGGTGGTATAATGGACAGGCGAAGAAGGTTATCCATGATTGCAAAGAGATTTTGATTGTTTGGGTCAATGGGCAGATGGAATTTAAATTGAATAAATGCGAGGGCTTCAGGCAGTGTTGTAGAACAGAGAGATCTGGGGGTTCAGGTACATAATTCTTTGAAATTTGCATCACATATAAATAGGGTGGTTAAGAAGATGTTTAGCATGCTTGCCTTCATTGCTCAGTCCTTTGAAAATAGGAGTTGGGCCATTATGTTGAGGATGTACAGGATATTGCTGTGGCCTCTGCTGGAGTACTGTATCCAGTTCTGGTCACCCTGCTACAGGAAGGATTTTATTAAGCTGGAGAGGGTTCAGAAGAAATTTGACAGAATGTTGCTGGGAATGGAGGGTTTGATCTATAAAGAGAGACTGGATAGGCTGGGACTTTTTTCACTGGAGCATAGGAGGTTGAGAGGCGACCTAATAGAGGTTTATAAAATAATGAGGTATATAGATAAGGTGAATGGCAGGTGTCTTTTGCCTAGCGTGGGGATTTCAAGACTAGGGAGCATATTTTTAAAGTGAGAAGAGAAAGATTTTAAAAAGGCGTGAGAAGCTTTTTTAGTTTCTACAGAGTGTTCATGTGTGGAATGAACTTCCAGAGGAAGTGGTAGATGTAGGTACAGTTACAACATTTAAAAGACATTTGGATAAGTACATGAATAATAAATGTTTGGAGGGATATAGGCCAAGCACAGGCAGGTGGAACTAGTTTAGCTTAGTGTAATGGTTGGCATGGACTGGTTGGACCGAAGGGTCCATTTTCGTGCTGTATGACTGTATGACTCTAAGACTATATAAAATTTTTATTGTAAACGGTCATTCTCAAGCAGAAACCTGTGGCCATGGTGTCCGTGTTATTAAACAAGGTATTCTGTTTACAATTTTCAGGCTGTGACCAATCTGACGAATGCTCAGAAAAGGGCCCAAAATGCTGGTTCCACAAAAATACTGCAGGACGCTGCTCAAACCTGTCCAGGGTTGACTTCGTTCACCCTTCCAGGCCAAGCTTACTGTGCACTTTGAGTTGAATTTCCAACTCACAGCTTGCCAGAATCCATTCAAATAAAGTCAGAATTTGAGAATAGTGCAGAACTTTTGGAGCCAACTCCAGACAGACTGAGCACCCACCTCTCCAGTGTTGTGCCCAATTCAGCTAGAAATGTAAAATGCCTTTTCATATATATTAAATTCATGCTTACCTTATCTAGGTCATATAGAAAAGCCTGCAATATAAGGAATATCTATTAGTATTATCTTTCCTTGAAGGAACAATCATCATTCATTTCATATAACAAAGACACTTGTGATAATGCATTAATGGATTTTCTTGCAAAGTGCTACAGACTTGTAAGTCAAGCACAATGAAGTAAAGAGATTTATTTGAAAAAATTCCTACTCTTCCACATAATATAATCTTCCTGATGCACTACAATGACCTAAAAACGGTGTATAAGGAAGATCTTAGTAGAGGACAGGCCAGTGGGGAGATTGGAAGATTCAAGGATTCAATTCCTGAAGTGGAACCTAAAACAAAATCAGCCAGTGGTGGCATGAAAGGGGGGTAGTGTATAAGTGGACAGAAAATAACAAAGCCTGAGGAAAATAGGCCTGGATTTTATAGGGTGATTGCTTGGACAATCCCGTTTAAAAGAGTCGGGAGTGTGAGTCCACCCTCAATCCCTTTGTCGGTGCCACTGTTCATGATAACCTGACCAAAGACATATGCAATATTACAGCAGTGAAGAAGTGCAACCGTAAGCTACCTCCCTTGCTCCACAGCCACATAAACTGAACATTAATTTTACTATTTTTGTACCTACCAGTCTGGAGTTCCTTTTCATGTCTTTCTGCTGCATGTTTAGTAAATCCAATTCATTTTGATTCATTTCGAGATATTCACTGCAATAAAATGAAACAGTGGTCAACTCTCAAAAACCTAATACTAAAGGTTGTTCCAGAGAAATCTGGCTCCTGTAAGAGCTTCAATCTATCCCTACTCAAACACCACATTGAGAATGGATGGCTGAATTTGCACTGGGGCAAATTAAACTTTACTACGGCTGTATATCAAAAGGCTCATGTCACATCTCTGAAGTTCAAACAGAATTTTAGTTGTGCTTCATTTGCTACTGTTATAACCATTTGATCTGAGAAGGAGTATCCACTGGTCAAAATGGCTATGGCTCAGTTGGTATTCTCACTTTTAGCCAAAAGATTTATGATTTGATTTGATTTGATTTAATTTATTGTTGTCATATATATCTAAGTACAGTGAAAAGTTTTGTTTTGTGAGCAGTATAGGCAGATCATAACAAACAAGGATGGTACAGATCATAGGGTGTTTAGACAGAGCAAGGCATATAGGGTTACAACTGCACAGGAGGTGCACAAAAGCAAGGTCAACATGAGATTTAAAATTAGACAGGTCCAATCAGCAGTCTAATAAGGGCAGGGAAGAAGCTGTTCTTGAACGTGTTGGTGTGCATCTTGAAGCTTCTGTATCTCATGCCTGATAGAACAAGTTGGAAGAGAGTATTAGCAGGGTGGGAGGGGTCTTTGATGATCTTGGCAGCTTTTCCGAAGCAACGAGCTATGTAAATGGAGTCCATGGATGGGAGGTTGGCTTCCGTGATGGTCTGGGCTGTGCACACAACTTTCTGCATTTTCTTACGGTCCTGAGCAGAGCAGTTGCCATACAAAGCCTTTATGCACCCAGATAGTATGTTTTATATGGTGCATTTGTAAAAGTTAGTGAGGGTCCTTATGGACACACCAAATTTTGTTAGCCTTCTGAGGAAGAAGAAACATTGTTGTGCCTTCTTAACCATCACATCAACATGGGAAGTCCAGGACAGACTGTTAGTCATCATCACTCCTAGGAGTTTGGCATTCTCGACCCTGGTTCAGTTCAGTTGATATAGATCGGGGCATGTCCTCCTCCTCTCTTCCTGAAGTCAATGATCAGTTCTTTTGTTTTGCTGACATTGAGAGATTGTTATCATTGCACCACGTCGCTAAGCATTCAATATCCTTCCTGCATTCTGAAATCCAGCCTACAATAATGGTATGGTCACCAAACTTGTAGATGGCGTTCGTATGAAATTTGGCTACATAGTCGTGAGTGTACTGGAAATACAGTAGGGGGCTGACTGTGCATCCTCGCAGTGAATTCCCACTCCAGAAACAAAACCTAAGGGCCCGATCTTCCCATAGCTTGTTATTTTTGTTGAATTTCATGGAGGATTTCTCTCAGCAAGTCTTAATGAGTTTTCTATACAACCATCCCAAACCCCACCTACCTAGGCCCTATGGCACCCTCCCATCCACTGTTAGCCCAATTCTCCCACTCTCCATAGCCAGACATACTTGCCACTGCCAGCATGCCAGGTGCCATATTTAACAGGCATTTGTTCACCCAATCAAGCGCTGGCACCCTGGAGCCGACCTGCACGGTTATAGATATTCACCTTGGGCACGGCAGATGTACGAAACTTGTAACTCCCCGTCCATTGCAAACAGGAGGTCCTGCTGGAGAGGGTGGTGTGTAGAGAGGACGTCCTCTTCCCTCAAGAGCAGAAGAGGAGGCCACAACACCAGATCATGCCAGCCCGGTTTGAGGTCACTATCCAGGTCAGTGCACTGTCCACAGTTTGACGAAATGCCTAATAATGCAGGAAGAAGGTCAATGACCTACTCCTCAGACCAAGGTCCATGCTCTACCACTCTCACTATTGCATGCAACATCTTCCCTCACTTTTTCACACAAAAACCCCCTTCACTACTTCACTCCTTGCTTGCTGTCTGCACCAACTCACTCAACAGGACACCTTACCAAACTCACCCCACCTGCATCAGCACTAACACCTGTACCATATACTTACACCTTATTCACTCCCAGCCTTCTTTCAATTACAGGTAAAAACAGCCCATAATAGGGTGAAAAAAGTCTGGAAGAGAGATGGAGTAATGGATATGTGTCTCCTCAGACTCTACAAGAAGAGGATCTTAGCCTTGGAAGGCAAAGACTGGGACCGCCCTTGTGGAAATGCTGAAACTTCCATGACCTGGCAACCAAGTAAAAAGCGTTGTTCATTGTTGTGCTACCCTCCCATTATCTGCACAGTGAATTTATTAAGATGCTACAATACTCTCTTGGTCAGTACATTTTCTCTCACTTGTCTCCTGTAGACCCTGGCAGGATGAGCACAGTGGCCACAGTGAAGAGGGTCATCCCCTCCTCTACTTCTGATGAACGCAGCATGGATATCCCAGAGGAAGCACCTGTCAGGCTGACTCTGGCACCCCACCCCCACCAACTCAGATACTGGCATCTTTGTGGGTATGTTATTGAAATTACAATTGGTCGCATCTGCTTGTGCTACTTTCCTGGTGAAATGCCCCAGGTCCTGGTACTTCTCGGACTGCGGATACTCGGCACCTGCTCAGCCCCAAACAGAATAGGACACCATGGTGCTTGCAATTAGGGACTTCAGACACATGCACAAGCAAACACAGGACCAGCAGGCAGGTACATCAGGGCCACAGAGCAATCTGACACGAAAGCTATGGGACTGCAGCAATGTGATTGGCATCCTCCTGTCTCAGGCATGTGAGCATCTGGCAGTTCCCATGGAGAGCCACGTCCAGTATTCTCAGAATCTGCTGGATAGGTGAACAGAGCAGCACTCTGTCACTCTAGCCATTGGTACTCAGCATCAACAACAAAATGTGGCCAGAAACCCCAAGGCCAGAAAAGCTAGGCCCAAACCAGAATGGACCAGCTTTGAGTAGCCAAGCCTGATTGCACTTTCAGGACAGGTCAAGCACAAAGCATCCGCACAAGACGAAGGCAGGCAAGGACAAGCACGGACTTGCCCTGGAACACGAGGCTGGTTTGTGTATTGGAGTATGGCGAGCCTTTCAGATGCCATGACCTTGACCTGAAAGGTCAATTGGTTGAGGGCCAGAGAACATTCTGGAAGGATGCAGCAGGGAGGGATAAGAAGGTACACTTAGCAGTTATTCATTGGCTGTCCAGCCTTCATCAAGTTCATAAGACCCCCCTGATTACACAGCCTAGCCAAGTTCAATTGCACAAGTAATACCTGGTCCTATTCTGTAGCTCGTAGTAGTTTAGATAAGGATTGTGCAAAGACTTAATGTTGTGAGTTAATGGTAGAGTAATTAATGTAAGAACATAGAACAGAACAGCACAGGAACAGGCCCTTCTGCCCACTATGTCTTTGCCAACTATCATACCAATCTAAACTAATTCCACCTGCCTGCACAGGATCCATATCTCTCTATTCCCTACCTCTTTATGTGTCTGTCTAAATACCTCTTAAATGTTGCTATTGTATTTGCTTCTACCACCTCCCCCTGGCGGTGGGTTCCAGGCACCTACACCCTCTATGTAAAAAAATCTTGCCTCGCAATCTCCTTCAAACTTTCCTCCTCTCACCTTAAACCAAGGCCCCCTAGTATTTGACATTTCCACCCTGGGAAAAAGATTCTGACTATCCACCATATCTATGCTTCTCATAATTTTAAAGACTTCTTTCAGGTTGCCCATCAGCCTCTGCTTTAGCGAAAACAATTCAAATTTGTCTAACCTCTCCATATAGCTAATTCACTCTAATCCAGGGAACATCCTGGTACACCTCTTCTGCACCCTTTCCAAAGTCTCCACATGCTTCCTATAGTGTGTGACCAGAACTGCACTCAGTACTCCAAATGTGGCCTAACTAAAGTTGTATACAGCTGCAACATGACTTGCCAACTTTTATACTCAACATCCTGACTGATGTAAGCAAGCATGCTGTACACCTTCTTTATCACCCATCCGCATGTGTTGCCACTTTCAGGGAGCTATGGACTTGCATCCCAACATCCCGCTGTATATCAATTTTTCTAACAGTCCCACCATTTACTATATACTTTTCTTTGGCATTTGACCTTTAAAAATGCATCACCTCACACTTAGCTGGATTAAACTCCACCTGCCATTTCCGCTCAATTTTCCATCGATATGATCTATATCCTGTTGTATTCTTTGACAAACATCCTCACTATCCAAAACTTTACTGATTTTCATGTAATCAGCAAACCTACCAATCAGACCATCTACATTTTCATACAAATCATATATGTACATTACAAACAACAGAGGTCCCAGCATTGATTCTTGTGGAACCCCATTGGGCATAGACCAGCAAAGGAGGCCACAACACCAAAGCATGCCAACCTGGTCTGAAGTCACTACCCAGGGCAGTATAGTGTCCAGTCTGATGAAATATCTAACAGTACAGGAAGAAAGGCAATGGCCTACTCCTCCTATCAAAGTCCATGCTCTACCACTTTCGCTTTTGCATACAATCTTCCTTCATATTGCTCGCTCAATTTAAGTAGTACATCCCCACTGCCTCTAATTCAATCAACATATTATTCATCTTAGAATCACAGCATCTCTATAGTGTCGAAGCAGGCCATTTGGCCCATCGAATCCACACAGACCCTCTGATGAGCATCCCTTCCAGTCTTGCCCCCCTACCCCCGCCAACTCCCTTCCCCACCCCAGACACACACACACACACACACACACACACACTGTCCCTGTAACCCTGCATCTCCCATGTTTAATCCACTTAGCCTGCACATCCCTGGATACAATGGGCAATTTAGCATGGCAGTCCTACCTAACTTGCACATCTTTGGTCTGTGGGAGGAAACCCATGCAGACTCAGGGACGATGTGCAAACTCCACACAGATGATCACCCGAGAGTGGAATTGAACCCAGGTCAGTGTGCTGTGAGGCAGCAATACTAACCACGGAGCTACCATGCCATAAAAAATGATCCTATATTTCAAATTAGCGCTATGCTAGCTTTGCTCGCAATCGTTGACATAATGAGTACCACTAAAAGGCTGAAAAGAGCCTGAAACACTGGTGATAGTTGGGATAGAACCACAATACTGTACCAGTGTGCCTCCTGGCTTGTGATAGTCGTGTGACCACTGCCATGAAGCACAGGCAACTGTCTTACAGCCAGCTTTGTAAAAGCACAGCACAAGGAAGAATGTCGTTCTGTGAACTTGCAGCAATTGTCATGTATGACATCTGAAGTGACCATTATAAGGGCTTTCACTTATTTAACCAAACAACAGTACAGCATTGATATCTGCCTATTGTTGAAGGGAGTAAGTTGAACTTTGCATTGTTCTGTTATGTCACAGTACAATTTATACAGGTTCTCACTTCAAGCCTTTCCGTAACGATTTGCAGATTTTCTCCACTCGTTTAGGCTGCGGCTCCAAACTGTTGGAGTTCTTTTGTGAAGTGGCGTGCTTCCTTGTAGATTTTATTGAGGGCAGTCTTGACCTTGGAGAACTTCTGCTGACAGAAGAAACTCTGCAAAAGAAAATTGTAGCATTGTTAATCCATTTGAAATGAAAAAGATATCTTTGAGTGTCTCAATAGAAAAGCAAAATATTGCAGATGCTGGAGAATCTGAAATAGAAATAAAAAGTGTTGGGAAACTCAAAGTCTGGCAGCATCTGATTTAAGTTATTATCTCTAATTTTAGTTATTAGCTTTGAATGTCTGTTAGTTGTCACAACATAACGTTCCATGCACAAGACTGTTATGTTAACAATACATATGTCAACAAAATAACTGTATTACTGTATTTTGTTTTGAAGAAAATAATCCACGTGCTTCAACCAGTGTTAACCTTTATTTATATATCCTATGGACTTGTTAAGTTTAACATGAAGATACAAGTTAAATTAATAATGGATACATGGCATTGTCTGATTTTAATTTCTCCTAATTAAGCAATATGGGTAATCAAAGTGCCATTTGATCTTCTCTGTTGTATTAAGGATAAAGTATGCATGGAGTGCTGCACTGATTTTTAGATGTAATGTTTAACTGAAGTCCTTCATTCTCTCAAGTAGACATAAAAAAATCCCATAACACTATTTGAAGATGACCTGACCATCCTCAGCATCCTGGCTAAAACTCAAAAATAAATGAGCTTGATCATTATCACATGCTATTCATAAAATTTTGCTAAATACAAATTGGCTTCCACATTCCAATAGTGAATACTGGCTATAAAATACTTTTGAGACATCTGATGGTTTTAAAAGATGCTTTATGAACACAAGTCTTTCTTCACTGATTGTGGAATAGGGGTAAAAAACTTGATGATAACTTCATACATGGTGACAGCATAGCTTGCTTTTCATAGAATCCCTACAGTGTGGAAACAGCCCCTTCGGCCCAACAAGTCCACATCAACCCTAAGAGCATCCCACCCAGACCCATCCTGCTATAACCCACCTAATCTACACATCCCTGAACATTACAGGCAATTTAGCATGGCCAATCCACCAGCCGGCACATTTTTGGACTGTGGGGGGAAACCAAAGCAAACCCATGCAAACAACGGGAGAATGTGCAAACTCCATACAGACAGATAGTCATCCAAGGAGTGGAATTGAACCCAGGTCCCTGGTGCTGTGAGGCAGCAGTGCTAACCACTGAGCCACCATGCCTCCCATGGTGTTGTACTGATTTCCTCTAATGTTTATCTGTAAAATGTCAATTGTATAAAATGAATGTAATTTGTAAATTTGATATCTGATTAGAAACATATGCATATTTTAAACACTGGGAAAGGAATTTTAGAACTTGGAGGGTCGCAAAGTATATCATATACATGAATCTTTTCTTTGAGGACTGTATTATTTGTATAAATTTTGCAACACTAAGATTTTTTCATGGCATTCCAGAGGAATGCTTATTTCATGGGTTTCCTGGTCTATTGACGTGATTCTGCTGAAAAATATCCTCGTATCCTTGCGAAACATCCTTTTAGAAAATAAGTAACAGTAAACAGTCTTGTTTTTCAGAATTGAAACAGCCCTATAAGTTTGACTGTCCTTTGGCTGTTACATTTATCAATGCAATGTTACAATGATTTTGTCTCGAAGCCTCCAAGTAAATTGTTCGCCCATATCAAGAGTAATAATGTCTCACCCAGATTCATTTTAATTCACTAGATATATTTTGAATGCACAGCACTTGGAAGAATTGGAAAAGAAATGTTAATTTCTCCTTTTTTAAAAAAATCAGTGAAATATAAATACCATGATACTTCCAGTGGAAAATCATAGAATCGTAAAGTGTTTACAATGCAGAAGGAAGTCATTCAGTCTGTTGTGTCACTCTGGCCCTCTGAAGGAACCACTGCTCTGTCTTTAATCTGTAGCCTTGCAATTGATAGTGTACTTTTTCAGATAAGGATCTCATTCCCTTTTAAGTTGATGCTGAATCAGTATTTTATACAATGTTTTATAACTTCCTTGCTTTTGTCCTCCCTGTCCCAATTGCCACAGCTCAGGATGTCATATGCTTTATTAACCACTCGACCAACTTTTCCTGCCACTTTCAATGATTTATGTGCATTTATGCCAAACAATTTTAGAATTATACCCTTCAGTTCATTGTTGTTTTTCTGCATTATCTCTACCAAAATGAATCATTTCACACTCCTCTGCGTTAAATCTTATTTGTCTTTCACCCACTTTTTCCACTAATGTGCCTATGCCATTTTGAAATTCTTCATATCCTCCTCCTGGTTCACAATTCTTCCAAGTTTCATGTTTTCTGCAATTTTAAACTGGTGACCGGCACACTAAGATCTAGGTCATTGACATATATCAGAAAAAGCAGAGACTGTTACACCAAATCCTATAGAATTCCACTGCAAAAGTTTGTTCAGTGCAAAAATGATTCACCACTACACTACGTCATTCAGCCAGTTTTGTATCCATGTTGCTACTGTCCCTTTTCTTCCATGATCTGTAACATTGGTCACAAATCTGTTATGCAGTACATCATTAAATGCCACAACAATAGCACTATCCTCATAATCTCTTTTTGCTACCTTACCAGAAATCTTAATGATGTCAGTTAAAACTGTTTACCCATAACAAATACATACCGGCTTTCCTTAATTAACCTGCATGTGTCATTTCTACTTGGTTCCGCTCAACCGAAGTTGAACTGAACCATACATTGCTGGGATTATTTTACACTTTTTAAACAATGGTGCAACATTTGCAATTCTCCAGCTCTGTCACCACCCCTGTGACTAAGGAAGAATGGAAAATTATGCTCAGAGTCTCTGCAATTTCCTCTCTCACTTCTTTTAGTAGCATTGATGCAACTCATGCAGTTCTGGTGCCTTATCAGTTTAAAAACACAGTCTATCCCAGATCTCCCACTTATCAATGTTAAAACCTTCAAGTGTCTGAACTGCCATTTTTTTTCATCATGACCTGACAGTAAGTTTGTCTTTGGTAAAGAAAGATTCAAAGTATTTGAATTTAATAAATGTTAAGTATTTAGTGAGTCAGTCGTACCTTCATGCATAAACACATTGTATGGTCTTTAATAAAACTTTGCAGTTTGTGGTTGGAAAGAGAGATCTATAGGATTTAATATATAATTCCATTATATTTTGAGATTAGGTGGACAAAACAAAAATAAACAAAAGCTTTATTAATCGAACATAAAGTACAAGAGTAAAGGAGTAATGATAAAATTTGAATCACATGTTGGTTAGAGTACAAATATAGATCTCCTTTATGTACACCCTTTTTTGCAAAGAATATTAAAATTGTAAAAAGTCTATAACAAAGGTTTACCAGAATTATTTCAGAGATAGTAGGAACTGCAGATGCTGGAGAATCTGAGATAACAAGGTGTAGAGCTCGATGAACACAGCAGGCCAAGCAGCATCAGAGGAGCAGGAAGGCTGACGTTTCGGGCCTAGACCC